CGTATGAAGCACATTGCCGCATGGGAAGAACTGGAGGAAATCATGTGAAGCGAAGTAAGCCAAGCACAAAAGGACAAGTACAACACGAGTCCGATGAGGTAAGCTTAAAAAAAAAATGCAAAAGGGGCACAGGGAAAAAGCTACTGTATACAAACATTCCTGGGGCGAGGACCAGGTAGTATGGTTGGGGCCAGACCAAATCCAGGGATACATATGATAGCCAACTAAAAAGGAGATGGGGAAAGGGGAAAAAATTAAAAGAAATGAGTAGAGGGGGAACAGGGCACTAACCCACCCATGGGGTGGGCATTGTTTATATTTCCACAGGGTAAGAGGGACCAGACTTCAACCCGGTGCTCCAAGATGTGAATATAACATGCCGGCATGTAGTATGGAACCACTGGAGAGGTCTGAGCAGCCGGCCCCAATCCCAACCACGTAGACACCTGCCCCTCCTCCCAGAAGAATTTATTTTAGAGGACAACACTGAAGCTGCAGCTCAGGGAGAGGGACATGTCTGATCAGAGCACACGGGAGCAAATGAAAGGGGAAGAAGAGAGAGTGGAGCACATCCTGACCCACCAAGCCTTGCTGATATTCCCTCTAAGAGCAGCCAATCCACAGAGAAGACCACATGGCCGGCCCCACTATGAGACAAAACATCCCTCAATGACCCATAGCCCTACAGGGGACAACACAGGAGACACAGTGTGGAAGAATTCCGCCTGATCTGATCCCAAGTCACCAGGGAATACAAGAAATGGGCTTTGGGGCCAGGGCTTGGCGCCCCATCAGACTCAACCAGAAAACACTCCTAAAGGCCAACAGACAGTTCTTGAACTAACTAACAAGCTTTTCTTTTTTGGTTGTTGTTGGGTTGTGTGTATTTTTTGTTGTTGTTGTTGTTTTGTTTTGTCATTGGCTTTTTGTAGTTGTTGTTTTGTTTTCTTTTGTTGCTTGGCTTTGCGCTGTCTTGTTTTTGTGTATGTGATTGTCTCCGCAGGTCTGTCTAAGATAGGCTGGATGAACAATCTGGAGGAGAAAACAACGGGACCGACAGTTCCAGGGGGACATGG